ACCGCGGCCATGTTTCTGCACAGGTGACAGTTTCCTGGAAGCTCACTTCATTAGAGGGGTAGGATTGTCTAATTCAGATCAGCATAAAAGATTCCTTACCATGTAATGCCATCTGAATCTGTACGATATGTCATATGCTATGATGTTTTACTTACCTGGATCAACCGTTGTCCTAAACACTGTTGTTGAAAACGGCAAAGGTGCCCTGGTAGTTGTTATAACCGTTGTCGTAGACCCTACAGTCATCGGTGCTGACATGGTCGTCGTTGTGGACATCGTCTCTGGTAAAGTGGAAGCCGACGTAGCTGTAGTAAGTACAGTGGACTCATAAGTGTCCAACTCTGTTGTCTCAACTAAACGTTTCTGTTAAACCTTCTCTCACTATCATGCGAAGCAAAGTAACGTATAAAAGGCCCGTCTGACGATGTATTACAGTATGGTGAGTCATTCTTTAAAAAAAAACTAAAAGAAAAAAAAAACTAAAAGAAAAAAAAGTAAAACTTTGGCCCAGAGCGGGCCTCAAACCCGTAATTGCTTTATCCATGAAAAAAGTTTGTTGTAGTTTCAATCCAATTCAGCGAAACAATGAATCGAAATAGCTCTCGCACATCGTATCCTCTCATTCGAGCATGGGCTCAATGGCACATTATACAACTATTTCGAGGGACATAATTTAAATGCGTCGGAAAACGGGAGATCTTGGGTGTTATAAAGGCTCAAAGATTGCCCATGTGTATGCGCGGACGAGTTTCAGTGGCATTGTAGAAGCTGAACCGTTTGAAAGAGAACCCGTGCAGGAAGTTCAAACAACTTGTCGTGACCCATAGCGACAGTGAAAGACAATTATGGACAGCTTTGGCTTGACGTAGTCAGCTCTTTGCACAATTGGAACAACTCGCTGCTTTCATAGTCCGCAGGCGGGGGCGGCGCTTGCCCCTTGTTTACAACTGAATTTTGATCAATACCACAGGCTGAGTAGTCCCCCTGCCGGCTCGCGCTCGCGGGCCGGCCGGCGGACTATGAAAGCATCTATTGAAATCTCGTCTGAATCCCTCTTCCATGTTATTTCCGTCATGATAATCTCGTACAAACTCTATTTCTACAACTTTTTAGGAGCCACATTTTTCGCAAAATCGGCGAATTTTTTCTCGCTTCCTTCACCATCGATGCACTGATCCCAACCGATACTTCCGCTTTTCGACTAAAAACGGATACATCAAAATTATTGTGGACTGAGCCTTCAAAGTAACGTAATGGAATCAATGGAACAGGACAGTGGAGGGAGGGAAGGCGAAAAAAAGGGCGGAAAGAAGGGGTTGCTGGTTTAAAAAATATAAGACTCCTAAAAAGTACCAGGAAAGCGGTTTGTACGAGATGGTCTTCTGGATGTCTCTCATTTGAGTGTACTATCCGTCTCGTCCTATGAATAGTGCAGTAATAACAAGGCCGGCATAACACGGTCACTTAGAGTGCCTGTGTCGGCCGAACTGGTTTTGGAGCCCTTATAACACCCTATCTAAGCCGTTTTCCGCCCGGACGGTGGCCCATAAACTGTTCTTGGGGACCGCGGGATCTCTATTTTTTTCTAGCAGGAATATCAGAAACCATTATTATTCTGTGCCGTGCCTTTGAGGAGCAGCATGTAGTATGAAGCCAACACCTATTTTCTAAGTCATATGCATATTCGAAAAACGAGGAAACATGCATATGTTCATCACTTTCTTGTTTAACAACCTCAGATCTGACCCAATATCAGTCCCGGAAGTTACCGAGGCACTCTCAAATTGAGTGAGGCAACAAAAGGGTAAAGCCGTGAGAAACTACAGTATCGGAAAGTCGGAAAGATTTGAAAAAGCATTATCAACTAGTTAGGTAGTGAAAATCTCACTTGAAGGTTTAGTAGAAGGTCTTTCTGCAGGGCGCGGTGTAAAAACTGATTCAGTAAAGCTTTCTGATGAAGTAATAAATTGATCAGTGGAAGGATCAGCCGATGTAGGCGTGGTCGTTGCTTCCTGGGAAGGTTCCTGTGTAATTGTGGTGAGTGCTGAAACGGTAGTCTCTGTAAAGAGCTCAGGTTCTGTGGTATCCGGCGTTTTCTCAGTGGTGATGATTGTTGGAAGCGGACCCTCTGATGGTCTACTCTCATGAGTCGCAGAAGTAGTTGCAAGAGTAGGTGTCATAGTATCGAAATCAGTTGAAGGAGTGATCATATCAGTCAGCGAATCAGTCGACGTTGGCATAATAGTCGTTCCTAGAGAAGGCTCCACGTAACCGGTATCAGCAGTAGTCAATATTGTGGTCGTTCTTTTGGATATAGTCGATGTGGATGTTTCGAAATCTCCCGGTGTTGAAAACTCATAGTCGGTCGTTTGCTCCATAGTAGTGGTGGGCAGTGAAGATGGGATTCCGCCATCTGGAGAGGTATTAAATGTGCTCGCAAACGTATTTCTTTGAGTTATCGTCACAGGTGTTGTTTGGGAAGACGGTCCCATGGAGGTTTCCTCCAAGTTGTCAGTCGTAGTTAAGTCTTCAGTAGACTCCGTGGTTAGAGGCTCTGCAGTACTTGTCGAAGGCACGGTTGTGGCCGTACTAGATTCCATTCTAGTTCTTCCTGTTGATGACTGATAAATCGGATATGTCGGAAGTATCACAATTGTACTTCCCCGCGATGATCTAGGACTCTCAGCAGTGACCGCTGTGGAGCCGAGCTCCCCAGCTGGAGTAGTGTCTTCAATGATTTCACTCGTTTCTGTTTCAGAAATCGCTTGAGTCGTCTCAACGGATGTGCTTTCGATAACCAGAGTGCTTCCTTGAGTGTTTTCACGAGAAGTACTAGCTTGAGAATTAGCTGGTACTTCTTCCGATGTGCTGCTTTCCCATAACTGGGTGGTGACCTCCTCGGTTGTACTACCTTCTGGTTGTAGAGGCGGCACTTCCGTTGTACCGATCTCGGTGGATGAAATCCCTACGAAATCGGATTCTGTTGTCGCTTCGTACCGTGTTGTCATCGTGGACATCGTCTTCGTCGTGGATGTTCTCTCTTCTTCGGTGGTTTCGATATCAGATATCGAGTCGATAGTCGACGTTTCCGTCGCAGTAAAGGTATTCACACTCTCGACTGTTGTTGTCGTTATCTCTTCGGCTGGTTCTAATGACGTAGGGAGCGTTGCTACTTCAGAGGCGTCGGTCCAACCAGATGTAATGCTTTCACCGTTGTCGGTGGTCATCTCTGTTGTAGTCTCCGCAGGAGATGTGGTGATTTGCCCATTCACAGTAGTTGAAACTATTTCTTCTCCACCGTAGCCAGACGTCGTAGACCACTCTTCTTCCCAAGGAGAAGTTGTTGGTGTTCTTGTTTCAATGGTGTCAACTGACGACATTCCTTCATCTGTAGTATAGATGGTCTCTCCTGCTTCAGTAGTGGACTCCATCATGTGCGTAGAAGATGGTGGTCCTGAAAGAAGTGGATCTCCGAAACAAAGCACAAACTCTACGTGAATTTTTTCTGGAAAATCTTCTCTGTTTGATATTTTACCTTCCCAGTGCGAATCTCAAACATCTCATGAATGATCTGACATATTTATTCTCAATATTCAACTTATTAACCCTTTTCCATCACACATGAGACGTTGCCAATTATAGACGCCGTATTCACTTCAACCCATTGGGAATCGTAATTGCAGTGGAATGTTCTGTTCAACGACGTGCCATGGATTCCCATTGGAGCATTGTCATGATAAATGTCCACGAAGTGATGCGGCTGAAATATTCTACTTCAATTAGATATAAAGATATGTGGTTACCGGGGCTGGTCAACGGCCCTAGGCAATTCGGGTTAATCTAAAGGTCTCCCTGTTTTCAAGGCTGTAGTACTGAGCTTCCACTCTGACTTTAGAAAAACCGATGTCAAATCAGTGGTTCTCACATCATGAATGATTCCCGCAAGAAGCGCCCGGTTTCAAAGGAATGGAAAGCTCTAGAAGACAAAGGGTTGGAATTCGACCAGAATCACAAACTTCACGTAGTGGTAGTTTAAGCAGAGTGCTCGGGAAACAGTTAGTTGAAGAAAACTATGGTTGAGGAACTGAACTAATGTGCTCGATATTAACCTAGAATTCTTTTTTTTACTGGGATATCCTCAACCCAACAACATAGCCAGGCGTTTGCCAATAAGGGAAGATCATCTCCATACATTCATTCAAGAAGACGAAACCTTCAATGAGGTTTTCCTTGAATTTGAGGAAACTCCTTGCTGTTTCTGATTAACCACAGTGGCCTTCTGAGTAGCTTGGTAGGCAGGTAGGTAGGTAGGTGATTCGGTACATTGCAACCTGTACAACTATTGTTTCCTTCCACCCACGAGTGTTCCAACAACTCGTGAAACCACACCGAAGCGATTGCTGCCGAGATAAGTTACATACTCCTTACAGTTATCATCATTCATGAACATTCTCAAAGACTTTGGGTTGTGACCATCAATATGACCATCACTATTTTAAGTGCTCTTTTACAGTACTTCTAAAGTTAATTGCGGAAAATTCCACGGAGAAATCTGGACTTATTTTTAAATTTTGGCAGATACTTTCCGAACGATCCGGTCCAAGCAAATAGCTGAAAAATGAACCCCACTCTTGTACCTGTGCCCAGTCGAAATGTACGTTGCTGGGTCACCTTTTGCCCTTTCCATGCTTTACACTTTTCTCTTCAAAGGGAAAAAACTTTTTGAGCTTTGGTAGCCTGTTATTCAGTAAGCTTTTCTATTGATTTTCATACTGTTTCTCTACTTTCCTATAGCACCCTTTTGGACTACAGCAAATTTGCGTAGGGCAGGGCAGCTAGGCAGCTTCTTATTCCTGACCAGCTCCCTTGAAGAACTGCATTGCTCCAGCTCATTGTATAGACTCAAACGGAAATCCGAAGAGCCTAAGTAGCACAATGTGAACCGCAATGTGACTCATCCTATAAGAGAACGCCATTTGTCCTTTGAGCTCACTCACCTTAGTTGGCTGGCAGTAAAGCTGAGCAGAAAGGCAACGATCCGCACGAAAGTCGACATAGACTGCCCCTTCAACCTTATTACTCCCAGGTTTCACGTATAGATCTTGACCGCACTGCATACACGGACTGTTGGGATCTGAAAGTTTAAATTTGAATGTTTTATGTGTCTCTGGTTTATGGTGCACTGATTTCAATTAAGTGATCTCATTTTCGATACTAGGAGCAAATTGATTACCGGGATCCCCTCAGCCATCAGTGGTAGACCCTAAGCCTGTATGAAGCGCTCGAAGGGTTTCAAGGGGACTTAGCTAGCACATGCGACATTTTTTCTATCCACCGGTATACCGGTATTCCTTTGCGTGCTGTTCCATTCTCGGAACAATGCACTGACACTCTTTTCTTCCTACGTGAGTTTCAACCTTTAAATGTGTGATGGAAATTCTGAACAATCATTTTTGGCCCCTTAAGCAAGTTATTCCGTTGTTACATTGATTCAATCGCATTTTTCTGTATTAAGGTGACCAGTCAAGAGATCGGATAGAAAATGTTTCTTGTTGGTCATTTGTACCGGAGATACAAAACCTGAGGTAGTTTTTTAGTGTATCACGACATCAGAAGGCTGTCGGAAGACACTAGGATTTGATGGATATATTTCAAAGAATACTCGCACGTGTTATTTTGAAATTAAAAATTAAAATTTATAAGATAGATATGTTGCTAATGAATCTGATTGTGTTTATTAGAAATTCACTAGAAATTTATTTATTAGAAATGTACTTATGAAAACTGCAAATATACTTGAATGCTAACGAAGCTTTGCTTCGAGTATAGATCAATCCTCACCTCCTGGTGCCCAAGTTGTCATAGCCGTGGTTGTTGCTGAAAATAAACCAATCACATCACATTATCTTTAAATACCTAACCTTTCCTAATAAGCCCATGGTGGGCTTTCATGGCTTATCCTGATAGTTATTCACTTTGATTGAAAAAAGAAACCAAGTTTTGCTTCTTCCATGGAGTAAGGCAAGCTCCTTTACAATACACCCTTCAATCAGTACGAACTATTCAGTTGATTATTCTTCACAAAGGTTTCAATTAAATGAACACTAAAATAACAGTATACCAAAGGGCAAAACTCAGAAACAAAAACTTTCGATTACTGTGCCTTTAACAGATTTTCAAAAGAGGATCATCACAGTATGCACAGAAAGCAAAAGACAGAAATCGATAAGATTACTGTCAGATATGACAATTTCATTCAAAGATACCCCTAACACATAAGTCCTCATGATTTAGTCTGGCACTTCAAAAGAAGTGGCGAGGTTCTTCAAAGGGTGTGGGATCACCACGGTCACCAATATATACTCTGCAACACGATTTTATTTCTTTCACGAAGTTGATAATGAGTTTCTGTGATAGGGCATTCCATTCCTCTTTCAGCGTATTTAACAACTGCTGGTCACTCGTGCTTCTGGGCGTGCTACAATGCATCTACCTATTGTGTCACCACGTGCTCAGTTGGATTCAGGTCGTGGAAAGGGGCATTCCACTCCATTCACTGGATATCCTCCCTTGCCAAAAAGTTTTCTACATGTGCAGCTCGATGCGGTCCATGATAGTCATCCACAAAAATTAATTCAGGGCCTATTGCAGCCCTGAAAAGACGCTCATGAGGAAGAAGTACCTGGTAGCAGTCACGATGACTGATAAAATGCCGCGCTCAAAAGTCTTGAAACCACAACAGCATGCAACATTACTTTCGACAATGTTCCTGGGAGAGTTGTGCGCTGAAGCTTCTCAACATATGAGACACGAAATGATTGCACTCAAAACATTGCTGTCTTTTTCGACATTCTTCGTGTTTTCCGATAGTTCTTCCTCATGCGAAGTCGTCCGGTGCTGTCTGCTGGACGTGTTGTATCGAATGATACCACCACAGTGTTTCGTAGGTACAGTAGGTTCGGTCCAGTCGAGAAGGTATGGTACGCTGCAGAGGACGAGAATACGTCACGTGGCTATGCTTAGCCACGGACTTTGGCCGCTTGTGTCATCATCCGACGATTACATCATTCATTCTTGTCATGTTGCCGTTGCAGCATCCCAGTCGTCTTCGTCTTCTTGTGCGCACTCGACGTCAAAAACGCCGGTTGCAGCTACAGTAGAATCCAAAGTACCATTCTATTGTCATCCGGTGGTGGTGCAGTTCCTGCCGTAGAACCAGGTAAGAGCCAGTACAGTAAGGAGGTTAAGAAGATTGCATGGCGAGGCTCAAGAGGGAATATGATCGTACCCGACCGTAGGTCACAGTGTGGTTAAACGTGTATATAATTGTTTATATCTATCTTTCCTAGTATTTGTGGCAGTCGCAGCCAACAATATTTAATCGCACTTGTCGTAGCCATTTAAACTTTTGTTCTTATTTTCGAGTCAGTCTTAAATCCATCTAATCCATAAATGTGTGCTTAACGTACGCAAGTGTTAGGACCCCTTTGTATCTCGCAATCAACCTGATCGTTGGGACGAAGGCGTCGCTGGCCCTTGTAAGATGTCCTACCTACTAGGGAGGTAGTACCAACCCGCCTTGGTACCTCCTACCTACTATGGAGGTAGTACCAACCCGAGGAAGCTGGAGTCGACACTGGAGTCGCAAGGCCTACCATGCCCGCCTGGCACAGGGTATTGAGCATGTTTTTTGAGCACATTTAGGAAACACAGCACTGTGTACTTAGCTACGTCGGGACTTCTTTTTCAAATCAACGAAGATCCCTCCATGAAGGACCAAAACAAACGCTGATAATTACATATACTATTTTTGGAACTTTAATAATGTAGCTCACGTGGAGGTTCATAGATGCAAGACAGTGAGTTGACTGCAACTTTTTCATACCACCATTGACCATTTTTGCATAGGACTTCAACGCTCAGTGGCAGTTCCGTAATCGAAAGATTCGTGTTGAATACAGTCCGCACAGGACGGAAGTCGTCCATCTGGAAGAACTCTGAGCGTCTGTTGAACTTGAACTTTATAAGCTTTCGCAGTTGCACTCTTAAACGAGCCTCGCAGTGGGATGAAGTTGAAGAAATACAGAAACTTTTCTTCTTCAATTCATGAAAGATAGGCTACCTCTAGGTGCTTTTGTACTTTGAGTCGGATATATTCTACTTTTTAAAATCTACATAGACCCTATAAAAAAGGACCCATTTTGGAAGCATGTGTTGGATGAGTAGTCAATGTCCGTTTCGGAAACGGATGAGCGTCTCATGACTAAGCCCCAGCATATCCTAACCTATCCTACAATCCAAAGGCGCCAGTTTCATGAACTTCAATAAGCTTAACACTTTCTATCGAGGTGCTAACTATAATACTTCCTGCCGAAGTTTCAAAGAAGAAATCAAAGAGAATCGATTATCCCTTACTAATTGACAACGGTTTCAAAACTGAGAGGGTCCAGGTTAGTTTTGGGGCAACTGCTACTTAAAGTGGTAATTGGCAAAATATAATACTATAAACTCTGCTAAAAACAACGGCTCAATGAACAAAATCTTGAGCATGAGCACATCAGGTCTTCAGGTATCATCCATGCCAATACTCCGTACGGCTGAATATCCCAGGGCTTATATTGTGTAGTACTTGCTTGTCCATTTGTTTGCTTTGGGCTTTTTGGCGTCAATGCAAAATCTCTCCCTTCGTATCCAGAAAGTAAGAATATCACCATAAGTACAGTTATGGATGTGGTGTAGATAGAAATGTTCAGTAATCAACGGAGAACACTTATTGAGAATAGACTTTGCGAACGCGATATCTCCTGAACACACGACCTTACACTTCAAGGAAATCAGGTAACTTGGCGAGAAACTGTGATAGAAACTAGTACGGCTATTCACGCCATTCTCATACAAAGTTAGGGACGTGATCATTTAGATCATAAGACACCTTTGGTGTGGCCAACTATAGACAGAGTAAGAACTTTTGAGGAAATTAGGATGTCCTCTGTGGAATTGTAACGACATCGCTCCTATCTCCTCCAGGTTCATTGGTCACAAAATGGGGAACCTCAAGTATTACCTCTCCAGACGGGTATGGTATCAGTAGGCCTACTCCGGAAGGATGGAAGGGCTTGTGTGACTCGGTCCTGCATCATGGATTCGATCCACAGACCTGGGTGTAACAATACGTCATATTGCTCTACGTCTCTCGGCACTATTCCACCTCCTCCCTTCAGTAGTAATATACCAAAATAGCATGCATTATGCTTATTAATAATAGCTCTTTGTTAGCTTATTACAGCTGGATTGGGGTGGGAAAAATGAATTCTAGAAAACCCTTGATTGGAAAGTTTCATAGGAAAAATTCTACAATGAACCTGGAACGACCGGCAGAAGAACTGCACATGTTTACAGCCTTGCCTAGAGTAACGATTCAGTACAGATGCTCCATCCTCATACGGATCTTCGTCGTACAGGTGAACATTCAGTTCCATACAATCGTCACACGTCTCTAAAAATGTTGGGTTTGCTCTTAATCATGGTAAAAAATAGAAGTGACCTTTCCAAAAAATAGAAAACTCAAACTGAATTGACTCACCTTTCGCAGTGGTTGTTTCCATCACTTCTGAAACAACAATTGTGAAAATGTTTAAAGTCTGTCATTCTCAACAAGATCATTCTTAGAATTAAACGGTGGCACTGTTGATTTTCGGACCATCTCACGGTGGCATAGATTATCTACGTAAAAAAAGCAGTCATGACAATTTTGGGTTACCTAGTTCTAGACAAGTAATTTAAATGATAGCCCAGAATAGTGCAATAGCGGCCAAGAGAACGGGAAAATCAGCGTATTATGAAAGATATAAGACTTCAAAAAAGAAGTGAAATTAGGGGATGGACGAGAATGGACGAGACTGTTGTGACAAAAGTTGCATAGAAGAGGAATTTGGACGAGTTGGATAAATTTGTGCATGTCAATGCATACAGATACAGTGTGTTTCAAAAGTATGTGCACACCTAACATTTTGTTTTTCTGGAAATACCATTGCTTTCTTTAACCTGTGACCTTCACCATTCTGTTCCTTGTGTGCGATAACCTACGAACACTTTCTCTGAGAAAACATCGTAGCTGCTGACACAATTTTTTATCAAAGAAAAATTTCTCCTTTGTTTCAAAAGTATGTGCACACTTAGCAAAGAACAAAAATATAACCGAGTTCAGAA